CTCCTGCAACGTGGCAGGAGCAGACGACCACACAGGCGAACGCGGGGCAGAAAATCTGGAGAACGTCACCTTTAAAGGGTCACCTTAAGAAACAGACATCGGAGTTTAAGGAGGAAGGTAATATAAATGAAAGATAAGAGATACACATCACCTCATCGATCATTTCTATGCTTCTATAAAGCACCTTGTTAGGGAGTCGGTTATGGGGGGTGGGTATGTCAGATTTATAGTGTATGTGGGTGTAAGAGCCAAATATTTACATTGTGGGGGAGTCCACGGTATAAAAACTGGGATATATTTATAGACGGGGTTTTATATCCTTTAAAACAAAGTCAAACAACCTCTTATTAATTGTGGGGTTATCTTTGTACTCCGGTATAAAGAGCAATAAAAGAAAAATGTGGCTACTCGTGTTTAATTCAAACCGTATTGTTTGTTATTAAAGGGCGATTACGCTAAAAGTTAAATGGGGTTTAAAGGCAACAACAAATTAACACAAAGACAGATAAGAAGTCAAACAGTAACTCACACACACACACACACATACACGAGCAGAGCTGCAGTCAGATTAATCTTTTGGACTTTGGGATAATAAGCGTCGAGTTTCACTGTGAGAGTTCATTTTTTACCAACCTTCCATGAAGAACTCCTTCCTCGCCAACATCCCCCCCGCTCCTTTAATGACTGATTTTCTTTCTGGGTGAGCGAAAGAGAAAAACCAGTGTTGTTCTTAAGCTTAATCCTAAAATTTCATGCTTGTTTTAAGTCAGCTCCGTCGCTTGTTCTCCGAGTGATTTGCGGTTGATCAGGAGTTGGATAGTTCTGCCAAATTTTTAACACTGAGCCCTTGTGGATTCCCAAACAAGGCCGGGCCTGTCTAATACACAAAACACAACACAAATCCAGCTCCGTTCCTGATCTGCAGTAATTCCCCAGCTCACATCACTTCCGCACTGGCAGATCTTTCAGATATGCAGCAAATATTTTACACTTCCATGAAAGGCTTTTACTATTGGATAATTGGAGCACAAACAGACTCCGTCAGTCCCATGCGAGTGTTTCTGAGCGTGAAATCTCCCGGTATTGTTCCTAATTCTGCGCTGAACGGCTTTAAAAAGAGCATTTCCATAAGATGACAGATGAAATATAACAACCGCAGAACAGCTTGATCAGTGCCCCGGGGTCTTAAAGGATTAGTTTTTAAGTTAGAGTGACGTGTTCGTGGTCCCGAGTTAGACTCAGACGTTTGAGATGAATGAGTGACGACCAGTGAGTGTGGTTCTGCAGAGGTTTCTGCCTGTAGAGAGAATCAAACGATGATAATTAAACTGTAAGAGTCTATATTTAGTCTGGACATTTTAAGGCAAAACTGGATTAAATTAGAGAGATGGTTTAATGCTGATTAAGATATTTTAGGCAGATGGCTGTCCACCAACGAGTCTGGGTCTTCTCAGAGTTTTTGAAAATTAAGAAAATTAATAAACTGCATAAGTCTGTTTTTCTCTAAAAGATTTAAGGCTCCAGTTTCAGATTAGAAAAGTAGTTTTATGCTGTTCTGAGTCTAGACTAAGACAACGATATTTAAGGCAGATGGCTGTCCACCAATGCGTCTGGCTCTTCTCAAGGTTTTTGCCAATTAAGAAAATTATAATGATGATAAAACTGTAAAAGTCTGTTTTTTTTCAAGGCAAAATTGTTTCCAATTTGGGAAGCAGTTTTATGACTTAGACTATGATATTTGAGGCAGATGGCTATAGACCAGTGAATATGGTTCTGCTCGAGGTTTCTGCCTGTTAAATTATACAACCATAAAGATCCAAGTGCACGCCAAACTCGCAAAGCAGTAGATCTAAAAATGTGAAATATTTGTCTGTGGCAGTCTAAAACCAAACATATGAGGCAGATGGCTGTCTGCTGGTGAGTCTGGTTCTGCTTAAAGTTTTCTGCCTGTAAAGATCAAAACATTTTAAAGCTGTAAAGATCTAAGTGCACGGCAAACAAAAGTTCTTAAAATGGGGAATAATCTGCTTTGGCGTTCTTGAGTTAAACTCAAATAGATGAGGCAGATGGCTGGCTATCTGTTAGTCTGGTTCTGCTCAGGGTTTCTGCCTGTTGAATAATACAACTGTTCTCTGTTTTGAAATTTCCAAGTGATACTGTTTTAAATTAGAAAGCTGTTCCTGATCCAGACTTACACCCAAACTGATGAGGCAGATGGCTGACAGGTTCGGTTCTGCTAAAGTTTTCTGCCTGTTACTGTTTTTCTTCACGGTTTGGAGTTAAACAAAAAGGGAAAGGAACCCAAATGCAGAACAAAAAAAGGATTTCTTTAAAAAGAACAAAATAAAAAAGCAACAAAAAGAGAAAAATCCAAAAGGCAAAATCACAAAGGCAGATGCACACATCGACAAATGTACACAGAACCAACCAGAAACAGGGGAAGACAGGGACTATATATTCACACAGACAGGGAAACGAGCAACGAGACACAGGTGAGACACTGAGACACAGGTGAAGACAATTACTGAGGAGGGAAAACAAGACTATAGACACAAGGATGGACTACTACAAAATAAAACAGGAAGAACTGAAAACTGAAAACACATCATGACCAGTTGTTGCTTCATATTGAACTTTTGTGTAATCTGTGAACAACATAACAACGTTAACAGAAATACTTTGATGTTGGTTTAATGACATAACTTCATGTTGGTTTATTGGATTGAGTAAAAAGTTCCGCTCACATTCTTCAGACTTCAGAGTTTAAAAACTGACGGGTGGAAATCTTCATAAATTAGTCTTGGGTGTGAGGACAGAGAAAAAAAGAAAAAGACTTTTTCAACAGCAGATCTATTTTGGTACCTAACTGATCATTTAACTCCACCATTGGCAACGACTGGAAAATACACACACACAGAGGCGCACGCACACACACGCACACACACAGCCTTGGACAGGCCCGGTGAATGGTAATGCTGCGGTAATGAGCGTAAACTGGACTACACCCATGTGACGGGTTAGTGGGTGCAGCCAGGCTGGCAAAACCTAAATCAAAGGGCCGAGTTTGAGCTGGTGGAGAAAGGTCTGCGAGGGTTTGAGTACATGTTGCATTCATGCAAACCTGCAGTTAGAGCTTTTTCCCTCAGCTCTGAGTTTCACTTCAGGAATAAACGAGAAGGAAGGAAGAGTTACGCAACAAACATCATTACCAGTCCCTGTCTGTTTCATTCATTCATTCACAAACAGAGGAAAATGAGCAGACAGTGCATGAGTGAATCCCCCTGTTCCTCCCCTTTTTATCCTCTTTTCTCCCCCCCACCCCTTTAGCTCAATTAGACTCTTTTTACTCTGCCTCACTGATCCCTCTTTAAACTGATTTCTGCCTTATTCCTGCTCCCTCCCTCCTTTTTCTTCTCCGGTTCCCTGCCTCATGACTCACAGAGGATATTTTTCAGTGTCACAATCAGTCGGAAACTTGGGTAAATATAGATCAGAAGCCTTAAAGACGTAGTACGTGTGTGTGAGCACATATCACGCCCGACTTCACCGCGGACAGCGATCAGGGAGGGGTTTTTAGCTGAGTCGTGATTTTCTGCTGGTTTGCATCAGCAGAGCGAGGTGATCTACCTGCCAGAGAGCACGTCGCCTGCCTCAGGTCTTAAAGCTGGCAGGAGCTCTAATCACACCTCCTTTCTTCTGCGTGTTCACTCAATACCTCTGCTCTCGTGTTCTTGAATTTGATCCCGTCCTGTTGAGACATTAAACCTTTATTTGATTTCTCTCTCTCTCTCTCTCTGGAAACAAACGCCTGACAGGACAAACGTTAAAAAAAACATCAGTAAGCCGAGCATTGTCTTATAAATCCAGAGTGAATGTCAGAGTTAATAAAGAGTTGGATTGTTTGGGTTTATCTGTCAGACTTATTAAAGATATGAAACACAGACGCTCCTCAAAAGTGAAGCCAAAACATTCGAAGGTGAAGGTCATGAAGTCTGATTTTTATATGTAAACAAACGGGACAAGGGTCAAACTTAGAAATGAGATTATTTGTGACATAAATAAATAATCTGAACGTGTCTTAACCTCTGATTGGATTCGGCGCATCGTAGAGAAACGTCTGCAGATACTTGGTGTTTAGAAACCGGGTTAAACTGGGATGTTTATGCACACAAACAGGATATTTAAACTGGGAATGCATCATTAGCCAGTTTACATGTGATCTGATTGATCTGATTAGAAATTTGAGGGATCATAAAATCTGAATCCACTGTTTACATGGGCGCAAAGTCAAATAATCCGATCAGGACGTGTGTAAACATGCACCAAGTTTATTCAGATTACAAGTATTTGGACATGTGCAGATCTGTATTTACGCCTGTGCTGTCAACAAACCAACAAACTTGATAGTAGCTCACGCCAATCAATGCAGGAGTTTTCCCTCTGTTAAATGTTGTCACTAGATGGCGCCCTTGCGTACTTATTTTACTGTTCTATCAAAAGTTGCAATGTGCGCGCAGATGTGACATCATTACGCTGTATGTACGCCTTGGTATGTTGTCGAAGGAGCAGACAGAGTGTTAATAATGAAACCTCCTGAACTGACCTCAATAAATAAAGAGTGAAGATCGAGTCAGGTAACAGAGTTTTGGAATAGCGATCAGCATAAACCACCCCTCTTGATCGGAATACAATTTCTTTCCTAATGAGCCGAATTGGATCAGAATCTTCCAATCGACGTGTTTACATGACGCATTTTCTTTCCAATCGGGCCTTTATTATGATTTTTTGTGCTCATGTTAACCGGCTACTGCTGAGTGACAGGAAACTGTCATGACATGTTCTGTTTATTTAGTTTTCTCCTGGTTTTATTTGAGTTTTGCATTTTCTGAGATTTCAGTTTGATCCTGTTTCCCTTCTGTTCTCTCTGTGTTTTATTCTTTAGATCAGTTTTTAGTATTTATTTCCTGTTTTGTTTTGTAGGAGTTGATTCCTTGTGTTTCTAAACTACGTTTACACATGCCCCTTTTGTGCTGTTTTCATAAACGGACATTTCACCCTCTCTGAAGACTGTGCACACCTCTACGTTTTCAGAAAAGTTTTCGTTTACTCTAACCCGTGTACATATGCTTTCAAGAACCTGTAGGTGGCAGTGTAACGAGCCCACATCAGCCAATCAGAATCCCACATAGCAGCAACAACCACAATATACCTTCCTTCTTTCTGACGCACAATCTGCTGTCGGCTACTCAAATCCCTGTTTTCTCTGTTTACGTGCGAACGGAGTTTTCCAAAATCTTCACTCTGGCCGGAGTTTTTAAAAAGCGTCATATTCAGGGGCGAATTCTCTGTTTGCGTCTAAACGAAGGTTGCAAACGATGGTCAATGTCTAAGTTTTTAAAAATCACTCGGTACATATAAACGGGGTCTTAGTCCGGTTTCACTCCCTCAGTTTCCCCTCCTCGTTAATCACTAACGAGTCTCACCTGTGTCTCGTCTGCCTCACCTGTTGCTCGTCCCCTCTGTCCTGGTTGGTTCATTATACATCTGTCAAGTTTTTGTTGGACTTTCCTTTAAATAAATCCTTAATTCTGCATTTTGGGTCAAACAAACCTTTTAAAGTTACTCAAACATTTCTAACGAGGGTCTGAACTTAATAAAAAAAAGAGAGAGAGAGATAAGACTGAGAGCAAAAATTGGCAAAGAATTTGGGGCATTGGGAGAAAATAGGTCAGGTAGATTTGGAGGAGTGCAACACCAGATCAGACAGAAAATTAGCCTAATAAAGTCAAATAAATGCGAAAATCAGGCCAATCATAAATCACAGCAGTCATTCCGATTGCATAATGATTGATCCCCGCATAATGAGAAGTCACAACGGTCCAAATAAAGCATTGATCTCATTAGCAGCTGTTCCTGGAGGAGCTCTGATACGAAATCTCAGGATTGGCAGCTGCAGAACGTTTTTACCAAACCTGTCAGTGTAGCTCTGCCAAAACAAACACGACTGCAAATTGTGCGTCAAACAGCCGCTCGTAAATCACTCAGATGAGGCTAATGATGTTTTTATCGCCTGCATCGCTATCCTGGTGTTTAAAGTTTGGGTGGTGTGGGGGAATAAAAGACGTCATCATCAGTCAGGAGTAAAAATCGCTGCAGGAACATAATCAGGTTTTAACAGGAAACTAAGTGAGATAAGACACTTCTGTAGGATTTTACTGTAAGGATTAATGTTCTGCTTCGTTTCCCATAATAACACCGACTTTATGTGTTTATACTTTACTGAAACAACAACAAGGAGACCCCGAGGACCACGTCCCCCTTTCAAGACTGAATTAATTTCATGGTTTCTTCAAACAAAGTGGACTAATGATGGATTTCCTTCAACCTTTGGTCTTTAAAATTAGACCGTGTTCGTCTAAAAGTCTCTCCCCCCGAATAAACACAGACTTATTCTTCTTTGGTGGTATCACAGTCATAAATAATAAAGCTCATGTGGACTAAACTCTGATGCCGAGTTTAGCGAACGCAGGCGGCTAGCTCGCGAACGGAGTCGTGGAGCTCCTGCTAAATCACGGCTTAGACGGTTTATAACATTCTTGGGGATGTTTTACCGCGTAAAGGGGGCCTCCGCAATTTACAAGGATTATAAGACCATAGTGGGCTTTCTATTTAGGTATGCACAAAGAGAGCATGAGTAAGGGAGAGCGGAGGGGAATTAGGAGCTAATCTGTCAGGAAGCAGCGAGGAAAAAAAAGACGAGGGGGAGCGAGTTTCAAAACAAACATTGCACCAAACCTCCACTTAATCTACATTCATAAGGGTTAGATGTGGTCCAGGGTCTCCAGATTAGCCCGACGCAGAGCGAGTCACTAATTCTACACTGGTACTAAAGCTGGAGACAAAGAAACTCCATCCAGGTCGGTTTTTTTTCCTGCTTTGAAAAGTTTCTGCAAAAGAACGAATCAGGATTTTACCTTCGAGGAATCACACTGAGTTTTTTCCCCAGGTAAGTAAAACCACGCAGACCAGGTTTGGACGTGTGCAGAGTTAACCTCGAGCTTCAAAACGACCACGAATCTAAGTGGCAGACTGGAAATCTCACACTGGCACACGCCGCTTCGTTTTTTTTTTTTGCTAGCGGCGTCAGATTGAAGCGTTTTGCTTTGAAAGTGTATTTTCTGCTGGAGCCTGACAGAGTTTCACTCCGACTGAATGACGGGCTTAAGTTGCGTTTGTTTATTTTAGCTGAAAGTTAATAAGCATCCAGTGTTCAAAGAAGGATGTTTTAGGCAATTATGGGCAAAGACGCTCCCACCCATCCTCAACCGTGCCAAGCCAGAACGAAAACCCGACTATCTCTGAAGTTAACACGAGGATAACTGCTTTGAACATGATCCGATGGGGGAAATCTGCTTCTTCATTTCTGCCTTTGACTGAAATGATTCATCAATTGTGTTTTCAGGAAGTTAAAGAACAATAATACCATCTGCACAGATCAGTTTTTTAGCCGCTCGGGGGGCTAACGCTAACGGAAACCCAGATAACAGATGTTCAGCTCAGGGTTTCCTCTTCTCTCTGCGCTTCAGTTTCAGCAGAAACTGGAAACGTTTTTTCTGCTTCTTTGATTTTTTTCACCCAAAGATGATTCAGACGATTAACAGCCCATAAAACCAAAACACCAAAGACTCTAAACACTCGTCATCTGCACAAACAGGCGTTAATTTTAACCACGAACAGCTCCATCAAACTCCTCATTCAGCCGCTTCCCCTTTCTGCAGACGTTCAACTTTTTACTTCACTACTTAATTTCTGGCTAAAGGTCATTACACACCAGGGCCGACGCAAATATAGAACGCAAAATTATGAAATTTTCAGAGGCGGATTTTGACGCAATCAAGCCCGATGCGATTTTGCGACTTTCCGGGGGGAAAAAGACGCAACTCATGGAAGACTTTTCCCAGGGAAAGTCCCGCCTCCTTCACCTCTGATTGGCTAGAAAATCTGAAAATGTCATCACACGCTCAAGCCAAACAATCAGCACTTATAGCCAATCAGAGGCGAAGAAGGAGTCTACGAAAAATAGAGTCTACTTCAACTATGGTAACAATCATTAGCTTATGTTAGCACGGATGAAAGTTAAAACAAAGACGTTTAGCAAACTGTTAAAGCACACAAACCATCCGCATATGAGAAATCCGACGCTATGACTCGCCACAAGTTGTCCTTCAGGTCGTTATTTTTGTAATATTTTCAGTCTTTTATCAAAAATCACTCTGTTCTCCAACGCGTAAACAATCAGCTGGTCGGCCATGTTGGATATACCGGTGAATCTGACGTCGCAACAACACGAAATCATACACACAGTATCCGAAAAATAAATGCCGAAAACGTCGCTGATGTGAACGCTTGTATTGACAGGATACGGCTAAAATATTGACGTCTGAAATAATCGCACGACAAAAACGGTCCCGGTGTGAAAGGACCTTAACTCCGGGGTTTCTTCGCTCCCGTCTGCGGTCCATTTAACAGACAAAGTTTTCGCACATTGCTTCAAAGTGCCATTTTTTATTCATGAGGCTGAGAATCTGTCTCGTCTGTCACTGCAGGAGCTCCTGACGTCCTCCAGTCTGCAGGGACGTGCGAGCAAAAAACACGGGAAAATCTCACTCCGCTTCATAAAATCACAGCATTCACAAACACAGCAACCTTTTCCTTATTTTATATAAAAACAATATAATTTGAAAATAAATATGCTTTTACTGTTTTACATAGACACAGAAGACATGTTAATATTGAAGAAGAGACAAAGAGAACTAATGAGGAGAGGGCTCGGAGACTGATGGCGGAGGATGGCGTCGTTATCCGGGGGTTTAGATTCGTGGCGGTACTTTACGCTGAGCTGCTAGCAGTAGTTTGCCATTCGCACACATGCCTGCGACTAACTTAAATACTTAAATACAAGTTACTAACATGGACACAGACGACAAGACGCACTCGCACACACAGAGACATCTCTACACAGTACCCACACAAACTCTTAGACATGGAGGGCATGAAAATGATCCATCGAGGGAATGTTAACAAATCAGTTTTGATTCTTTTTACTGGTTGTTTCGTAGAAAAGCATGGTGAGGGTCCATGCTGAGTGACCCTAAACGTGGAGGGGAGGACAGCTACATGTACATAACACTGCATATATATATATATATATAAATAAAACCAAATTAAATATGGGTAAAGACTGAATACTGAAAAAAAAAAAGAAACGCTAACACATTATAAATTATCTATCATGGACTATGGGATTAAGGGTTATTATTATTAAGTATGTACAAGTTCAGAGAAGAAAAGACGTCATCAGTGGATTCTGTATTGAGCTTCGAAAACTACGCCGACAACAACCCCCCCCCTCCTGAAAATAAAACAACAAAATAATTTAAAAAGCACTCGACAGATTTCTCAGTACATTTCGTGAGGCACAGTTTCTCAAAATGGAATCACACTACAGTATAGGATGTTTTCAGTGGTTTTCATGTAGGACATAGCATAACATCAGATGCTATATATTGATAACCGGTATCCCTTTTAAAATATAGATATATATATATATGGCACTCTGGAGTCTCTCTTCTCCTGCAAGCTGCTCACACATCGTAGACGTCCTGCAATGTCCTCACGGGGAAAAAGGAGGCGGCGACATCGTGTCCAGACGGATTTTTCCATCAGCTGCTCTTTGCAAAAGTCTCGCTTTTTTTTTGTTTTTGTATATTCCGAAAAAAAAAAAAAAAAAAAAGCCAACGTAGACAACAACCGACATAGAATCCATCCTCTGTCTCTTTTGAAATGAGAGTGTTCCCGTGTCCTCGTCGGCCTCACCCGCTGTTTTAGCAGTTAAATATATCTTAGATTGAGAGGTTTTGCAATTTTATGATTGACACACAACCACAGTAGACTCATATCCAGTGAAGTAATTGCATTCAATGAATCGACAACAAGACTATACACCTGCATTGCAAGCCTGTTAGAAATGCAAAACCACATGGCGGCTATTTGCTCTTTGTCAAAATGAAGGGTTTAGTTATATGTTTCTGTAGCAGCATAACAATTCTGTACTCTCTGTTTTTTGTCTTTTATTATGGTCTATATACACACAGATATACAGTGGGAGGAACTGCAGTCTTTCTCTTCGTTCTCTCTCAGTCAGTCCAAGGGGAATGCTTTCCAGAAAGAAGAGCTTACGGTTCAAAAGGTCAAAGTGCTGTGCTGTGAAATATCTCTAGAATATTCCTTCATCTTGTAGATCTGGTGCGGCCGCCTCTCTCATCTTCTGGGCTTGTCACATCTGGAAAGAAAAGAGAAGAAGTCGAGGTTTTAAAAAGGTAGAAAACAAACCGTCCTACAAACACTGAGAAGTATTCCTGTTCTGTTCTGGTGTTCACCCCAGAGATGGCGCTACGATCTCGCCAAAGCTCAGTCATGGACATGCACAGTCATGACTGCCACCCTCACTCACTGACATTGGAAATTCCCATTCAGTGTATCAGGAAGAAGCTGCTCGCTGCACAAAACACATCAGCTTCACGGCGGGACAGAAGCTGAAGAGGGGGCGCCATTTCTCAAACTTTTAACAGTGCATTTAAAGAAATGTGTATCAAGTAAAAACAGCGCATCTTTCTTTTTTGTCTCCTCAGTTTCCTCAACAATACGTCTTTGCCAAACACTACAGAACTTCTGCTTAATACCACTGAGACTTAAGTTGTACTTGAACGTCGGAATTTCTAAGCCCCGAGTTGGAAATTCATCTGGAACACCCCCCCTGAAGTTGGATTCTGACTCGGAAAATCGGACAATCCTCACCAACCGCGACTTGACATCAACATCATAATACAAGAAAGCTAAAAAAAAGTTCTCATAATGTTTTATTTATTAGCGCTTCTGTTTTGTTTTTGTGAAATTAAATAAGTGGTCTATGTTGTTCTGCCAAACGTCTAACTGTGAACACGGCGCTATGGTGTTTGTAAGAGTAGAATACTGTGTTATGCTAGTTTCGACTGGTATAGCTAACAACAGCTGATAACGGCTAACTGTAGGCGTCCATCCTGGTTTTCCGACTTGTTAACTGGAACGCTGTGTAATGTTACATTCGCGTTACTTCAGAAGTCTGAGCTGAAAATGACGTCACACCTAAATTAAGTTTCAGTGACCGAATCGTGGAAAAAAGCAAAATCAGAGACGGAAACAAGATGGCTACATCTACGCAAGTTATTTTAGCGCTTGCCTTGTTCGAATATACGGCAAGTGTTAAAATTACTTTTGTAAATTCAGTCTTGTTTCAGGCCTCTGATTTTGCTTTTTTCCGACTTGGTAACTGAAATGCTGGGAACTCGGGTGTAACGTCATTTTCAGCTACGACATCTGACTTCGGAGGTAACTGGAACGCAGTGCAACTCTCCTCAATTTAGCATGACTTTGCCGAACACCATGGGACTTACGCTTAATACCACTGAGACTTATATTACAGATATTACGGTAAGGACGAGCTAGAATCAAATTTAACAAATGCAACCTGTCTGAAAAAAGACTATTGGGCTCAAGACTTCGGCAAAGTTTACAGTCCAACTCGAGCAGTGATTGTTCTTGCACCTGTTCGTCTGTTTCAGGTGGGTTTAAGAAGTTGCATAAACTCGGATTTCTTGTGATGTTCTTGCGTTAAGTTTGAGGGGTAACAACATGAAGATGAAGGTCTCTAAAGAGGAAGAGGAGAGGAACGACTTTTTAAACGCTTGTTCACTGACTGAAGACGGGAAGATGTGGACACCACAGACTCTACACCACAACCGGCTGATCTCTGATTGGTCAATCCTTCTTAAAAGTAAAACCACTCTGAGTAAAAACTGCGGCGATGACATAATAGGAAACGGGACTGACGAGTTGGTCATCGCTCAGTCGACCACATCACACATGAAACGACCGGATCAGAGTCTGCACCGCCAAACTGACGTCATCCATTGTTCTGTCGACCCTAAAGTTTGTCGTTTCTGGTTTTTTGGCGATCTCCACCCGGATCCTCTACCTTGGATTGGTCATCATGATGTGGTTTTTAAACAATATCTGATACCTGTGACGGAAACGGTGGTTCGGGACTTACTTGCAGGTCCTCTCGTTGAGCTCTAGCTGGCGTTCTTTACAGTATTCATCAGTGTGTTTGCAGGAGCACCGGCATGTTACGGGATCCTGCACGAACAAACGCCTCCTCCTCTCCGAGCAGTGATCACAACATGGCTCACAAACACTGGACAGGGGGGAGAGAGACAGACACACAGGGGTGGGAGAGAGAGAGAGAGAGAGAGAGAGGCAGATTATCACAGTGTGCCATTACCACCCACGGGAAAGGCCGCCCTCAGGTCAACCCCATCGTTTGCTCCACTTTGCTCCTCCAAGCCACCGGCGGACAAGCTGCGCTGCATGTGACAGTTGGGTAGTATTACACACAAGTTCCCACAGAGCAGGCAAATACTCAAGCAGTAAAATTACCCTCCCCCCACGCCCCCCGAGCCCTCCTGCGTTGATTGGACCGCTCACAAATACCTTGTGTGTGTTAGACATGCACAGAGCGAAGCTTTCGCACCACATCATGCAACACAAAACGGCACATCGGCTCCAAACTGAAGGTCAATGACAACAAACTTCGAGGTAAAGAAGACTCGAGGGTCTGCTTGGTTCTCCGTTCAGAAAGGTTTCACTTTATTGGGTGTGCTTCCCACAGAGAGAGACATTAGTCCAGTGACAGTTTAAGATACAAATTTACAAATGAACACAGAGAAGACATCAAGTTTGCACATTGTAGAAACACAAGATCATCGTTTTTTTAAGTGTTAAGGCTGATTTCGTCAAGTTTCAGATACAAACAAAGACACGCAGCACTTGTTTAACAATTTGCTGGTTTACAAATCGCCCCCGGCAACACAAAGAGATAGATAGATAGCCATCAGTCATATCTACACATTACATAAAAAGTACCAGCATTGTGTCGAGGGCGGCAGAACCTGTTTGTAAAGATGAAAAGGAAGAAGGGCTGGAGAGGAGACGGGTACGAGACACAGGAAAGCGGCACAGACTCAACACTGAACACAGGACCGTGATTACGATCCTGCTGATCCCGGCTCAGATACCACAAGAGTACGAGCCGGTCTGCAGAGATATGCTGGTGGAGCTCAGCTAACAGACTATCGGACAAGATGTGAGCAGCAGCCGGTCTTAACCGTGTCTGCCGTTTCCTGTCCGAACCGTGGACCGGGGCTCGTCTTTGTGTGGAGTGGGTTTAGAAATGAGGTTGGAGGGGGATAAGTCGGGGGATTCGACGGCTGGAGATGAGTTATGTTTCATTTTCTTTCAGCTGTTATAGGACCAGAAAGCCGGCTGGGCTTCCTAAGGTTTTGCTAAAGCTATGTTAGCAAAACACGTTAGCATACAGCTTGACACGGCTTGACAGGACAGAAGTTAGCACAGTACATGGAAGCGACATGCTAACCGAAAGCTGCAAATTAAAAAGGACAAAGAAGCTCCTCCCAAATGAGCTTAATTATAAGAAGCGCAACACTCAGGTGCAGGTAGGTGGAAAAGGCAGAGCTGACATACGCATCGTGAATAGTTTTGTGTTCACGGTTTTTCTTTCGTTTTCTCTTTTGGCCTTTGCCTTTGCCTTTCCGGGATTTTCTGCAAGAGAAGAAGGACAACAACGCAGAGAGATGCCTGAGAGACTGAGGATAGATTGACTCAGGTGTTAACTTGATTACTGATGTTGTTGATTAGCTTGTTTGGGACGATCATGTCGACCAGATTTCAACAAAAATGAAACACAACCAAGTGAACTAAAAATGGGTTTCAAAGCAGCAGCAGCAGCAGCACTCCCCAAACTTACGGTCGGCGGTTTCCACTCATCCTGTAGTTTGTGATGTGATGGATATCGAATGTCAAAGTGAGAAACCCGCTTTTATAATCCAACTATGTCTGAAAAACTCGTTTCTGTACAACAATGACTCTGCAGACTTTGTTCGAGGATAAATGGTTTGAGGTTTTGGCTCTGCCCCGCTGTTCTGAAATTTCCCAGATGGTTTGAGGACAATAAACTTGGACTCGACTTCAAAACTTCGTCTTCTAGCCTATGTGGGTCAACTCTTTATCGCTGATTCAGAACATAGAGCTATAAGAACACGCTTGTGAGGCATAAAAGTGGAGACACACAGGTGCAGACGGGATTACAGGACCGGGGTTTGGACGGTTAAGGATGTTCACGATGCAGGGGGGAAACTTTCATCACGGTTTCGACAACGACAAACGACTCACTGCAAAACTTACAGAAACACTTCAAACTGATGAAATAAAGTCGATATTTGAGAATCAGCACAAACAGTCGCTGCAAAAAGGTTGGTCAACACATTTAATCATGAACGTTGAGAGACACGAGTCCAATGACTAAAGGTTGGACTGAGCGTTGCGGTTATCTAAATCGCCATTGTTCAGCGTGAAAAGACAGAGTTTTTGGCCTGAGGATGAATTAACACAATCCGATAAATCCCCTGAGTGTGCTCTCTCTCTTCTTCTTTGTTCGAATATGAAGCAGTTTTCAGCACTAAACCTCTTAAGCGCCACAAATCCTTCAGTGTCAGCTGGTTTCCGTGGCCGCCCTCGCCGCCCTCGCTGTTTAAAATAGTTCAATGTTTGGAGAAACTCGGCTCTACATCACCGACCGAGAGGAGACGAGAATAATGGAAGTAAACGGAGCAGATTTATTTAAGCGTTAATAACGGGACCAGGCCTGTTTAAGTCTTATTAGATTTTAGTGTTAGCATGCTAGCTTAGTTAGCATTACAAACACATCCTGTCTTTGCTGCTGCAGTCATTAGAAGGTCTGATCTTTGGACAGAGTTAAGAAACAGTCCAGTGTGTCAGTAGTTGTCCTTTGCACCAAATTTCCTGTCCACATCCACCGCGCCGATGTCAGCAACCGTACGCGGCGAGGATCCAGAACGAGATCCAAGCTGGTGTGTCGTAAATGTGAAATTTCCACAGCGAACAGGTTTCACAATCTTGGCTCAGTGACTCACCCTGACAGACCTCTGAAGACCTGTCGCTCCTAGGAGGTTAGAGGCCGACGCAAAAACTAACACCAAAGTATGAAATCAACAGAAACGCGGGTTGAACGACCCCGGGACCATTACTCTGGAGACGCACGCCACCGAGGCCTGACTCATAAACAGTCCTGACAAGGTTAAAGAGGGGGCCTCCAAACACGACCTTATCTAAATCCAAAATGCAACCAACAACCAATCAGGAATTAACGAGCTTTCGAAGCAGGAGATGAAGAGTTTTAACGACCCTTTACACACTGACTTCTCTAACGAAGGAATAAAGCAAAGTCCATAAACACCAAAGTTTAACAGATCTTCAAACATACGTTATCTACACCAGAGCAGAAGAAGCAGAAGTCAAGTGGGACGTAAACGATAAAAAAGGAGAGAAGGGGAACGTAAAGATGTGATAGAAAGGGAGGTCAGAGGGCAACGACCTTGTCAAGTGTCACTGATTCACCTGATTGGTATTCCCCGAGTTTACGACCCGAGGGATGCGCTCTAATCTCATGTGATAACTCTGAAGAGATTACCATCGGTGTGTGACAGACAGCGTTCAGGAAAAAAGGTGTGAAGTATCATTTCAGAGAGGCCGAAAGTGTTAGACGACCGAGGGTGAGAGTTTGTTTGCAAGAGAGCAAAACAGGAAAAAGATCAAATCTCAAGTCCCCATTGTTTGCCCCAGTCTCCATGCAGAAAGAGAGCTGTACTCACTTTTCTCTCTGTTCTCTCACTTCTTTCTTTAACCTGAAAGGCAGGAACAAAACAAGCGAACATTAGATTACAGCGTGATGTTGTTTCTCAGGTAAACAGATACACATCGGGATCGCTGTAGCCTCCGGGCCGGTTATCAGCATGTGTGGGCTCCCATCAGTCTTTTTGATTCGTGTTATGTCATCGTCTTTTACCAGAAACTGCGATAAACCTGGCTTTCACTTTCAAAGAGTAAATGAACCTGATTTGTTGGGAAATAATGCTGTGTACACACTCACACAGACACACACAGACACACACACACGGCTACAATAGAAAGTTGTTAGAGTTTGTTTCACTTCTCTGTGTGACGACTCCTGCCGATAACAGCATGTGGGGCAATAAAAATTTCTGGCGCAGTTTGCCAAAAGAGTTAGGAAACAGTGTTTCATTCAGAAAGGTCACGGACACGCAGCCAAGTTTCTGTTTTACAGACTGGTACAGTTACTCCAAACAAGCATGCTCGAAAACGCCTGAAGGTAGAGGACATGTGAGCGCGGAGATGATCGACCTTTTTACCTGAAGATACTTGATAAGCTACTGTGAATGAAATCAGGAGTCCCTCGGGTGGATTAACTTAATTACTGACAGAGATAACTCAGAGTTTCTCAGTCCTAGATGTACTTTTTTTGTTGTGGTAAATGTGTGGAATAAAAGTTTTTTATATTATCTCTTCGTTTGTGATCTCTTGTTACGTTTCACTGAGAAAATTCACTAGAAATGTTTGAGCTGGTTTTTCCAGAGTCATCTAAGGACACGTCATCTGATAACTTGAGTTTGATAATTGCTCCTCATCTGTCGAATATTGATTTCCCTGAGGTTTCATAACCGGTTTCATGACCGTTTGTCATTTCTCTGAATAAAAGTTTGATCAGAGTCATTTATGTCGTTAGCTGTTTTATATTTGGGACAAATCGCCTGAATTTTCAGGGAAGTTTCCCAAATTTTACCCAGACATTTTCCTGTCAGCCTCAGAGAAAGGTTTCTATAGGAGAGTCTAGTAAATAGATGTAAACACGCCAGCAATGCACTCTCAAACATATCATATATACCGCATTGTATCTTATCAATTTGTATCATATCATATCGTTTTGTATCATATTGTATCATATAATATTGTTTGTATCATATCATACCATATCTTATTTTGTATCATTTTGTATGATATCATATTGTATCATATCGTTCTGTGTCATTCTGTATCCTATCATATTGTTTATAATATTTTGTATTGTATTGTTTCATATCATATCGTATTTAATTGTATTGTATCGTTTGTATCGTATCATTTTGAATCGTATCGTTTTGTCTCATTTAGTATCATATCGTATTGTATTGCTTTGTACTGTATCGTTTTGAATCATATCGTCTAGTATCGTATATCTTATTGTATCATTATCGTATTGTTTTGTACCGTATTGTTTTGTATCGTATCATTTTGTATCATATCGTTTTGTATCATTTTGTCTAATTTTGTATCGAATCGTATTGCTTTGTACCCTATTGTTTTGAATCATATTGTTTAGTATCATGTATCTTATTGTATCGTATTGTTTTGTTTTGTATCATATCATTTTGAATCATATCGTTTTGTATCGTTTTGTCTCATTTTGTATCGTATCGTATTGCATTGTACTGTATCGTTTCGAATCATAACGTTTAGTATCGTATATCTTATTGTATCATTATTGTAGTGTTTTGTACCGTATCGTTTTGTGTCGTATCATTTTGAATCATATCATATTGTATCATATCGTATCATATCGTTTTCTCTCATTTTGTATTGTATCGTATTGCTTTGTACTGTATCGTTTTGAATCATATTGTTTTGTATCGTATCATATCATATTGTATCATTATAGTATCGTTTTGTATTGTATCATATCGATTAGATAGTATTGATCGTACTGTCAATTATCTGATACACATGTAAAAATATGACCTGTTGAGTCCCACAGAAATGAAAATCTCTGATACAAATATTCTCTTTTGTCCATAAAAGATTATCAACATGTGTGCAGGAGAAAATACTAAAACAATACTGGGGTTAAGAGACCTGATTTGGTCCTGAGATCAATTTCAGATGCAGTGATGAACATTACGTGTCTGCAGGGCTGGAGGCTGCAGTTTCAGGACCGCATTTCTGAGTTATGGTTGACACTAAAAATGCAAGAGTGTCATTATACGTCCCTGAATCTGCAGACTTAAACCGCTCACTCTACGGCCTCTTACTTCCTGTATATAATTTCCAGAACATGACAGTAAAGCCAAAAATCTGATCCAGGAATAAATAGATCGAACAAAGCCTCTAAACTTTTACAGAGCTGCCCTAAATGTTTACAGCCACGTCTGAATGGTTTTACGGTGAGGGGTTGAGAAAGCTCGAGCAGCAATAAGTTCAGAGTGACATTTCTTTATGGCCTGAAGCTCTACAGATGGACTCACTGTGACCGATGAGAAGAACATGTTTGTGAATCAAAGACACAAAAGGAGGCATTAAGTGGCAGCAGACTTTCAGTTTCCCTCGAACCGTGACGAGAACAAGAAGTAAAGATGTACAAGAAGTCATCGCCTTACTGTAAACGGGGAACACAAATAGGACCCGCAGTTCTTATCTATCGCACATTTGCAGCTACAGGAATAACCTTTAGTGTGAAAACGAAGCTTTCTAAAGTTTCTGCGATGAAAGAGGAATAAAGTGAAAGCAATTTTCCGGGATGTGCTTTAACCTGCTCGGCTCTTTTGTAAGATCGGAGTAAGAGGAGCGAAGATAAGCTGCGAATCTGAACGATTAACATCTGATGAGTGTAATCGCTGTGGCTCATCACAGTGTTCACAGTGTGTGAGTGTGAGTGTGTGTGTGTTGCAGGTCGTGTTCAGGGTTTCTTACCTACACTCACATGCGCTGTGTTCTGTAAAACTCATGAAAATATCATTCTGTTGCCTTTGGGGTTTTATTCTTTTAATCTGCGGAGAAAAAAAGAGACAGAAATGAACGTCAAACTGAAAGAGAGTGATTTTAGAAGAAGATAAAAGATATTAAAACTCAAGTTTGACACTAAAATCAGTCCGCACATCCTCCTGAGTCTGTTTCCAGGTGAACTCGAATAGTTACGGGTTGTTTTTGCAGAACTTGAAGACTCAGCAGAGCGCCGTAAGGACTCTTGAAATATCAGAGGGACTCTTGGTGCAACATTCATGCAAAAATAAAGGTTTTAAGGATGGGTGAAGTCATTGCATTGAACTCTGACCTCCATTGTGATGTTATAGGTGGCTGTAGGCATGCATTGTAGCATCTCATCGTTGCAGCAGCCCGCACACCGCGTTAGCACCACGCAGGACGGGATGAAGATGTGCTCCACCTCCTCCGGATACTCCTGCAGGATCTCCACCAGCAGCTCCCTGGGCTGGCATAAACTCTTGTTGTAGACCTCCATTAAAGGGATCACTGGGAGACAGAGTCGGAGTGTGGAGGGTTAGAAAATGGCAGCAGAGTGCTAAAGTAAACCAGCGTACCAACAATCAGACAAAAGCCAGAGGAGATGCATGCAAACACACCCTGTACTTTCTATTATTCCACAAAAGGGATTTGGCTGCTTTTAGTGTAAAACAAACTCCTTCTGTATAGATCTGTCTTCACCCATTCACTGCATCAGATCACTACTGAGTTTGAAAAGTTTAATCTCCTTAAATCTAACAGCCAAGGGGTTCTGCTCTTGAGAAAGATATTAGCACACAGCCGGACAACACCTCCAAAACATCACTCAGAGCCTGAAACAACCCGGGCCGTACGGGCCTTCTGGGAAGCCAAACCAAACAAACTTGGCCTGAACAACATCAAAAGTTCAGCTTCTGATTGTCCAAATTAGATTGGGCAACTTTGGGATTGTGCAAAAGAAAAACGGTCCAACGGCCAAGAGGGTGAAATTCCTTTCTATAACCGAGTCTGGTCACCAGAACATCTCAACAGCTTAACCTCAAAGAAGAAGGAATGCTGCTGCTCAGGATGGAAACATCCAGAGAGTTTAGATTTTAGGGGTAAAGAAAGAGGAGGTCTCTGTCAGGTCAAGATTTGTGCAGTTGTCCACCAGGAGGCGATAGTTTCCCTTTTTAATTTCAAGGTGAACCTCAAACCAGCCCTTCACTTCCTGGCTGTGTGCCAACAAGGGAGCCCTAAGCAGACTGTATTCCCACGAAACCTACCGTCATGTGGACCTCTTTCTGTTTCCTTCGGTATGTGGGCGCTCTGTGAGAAGGGGAAACAGAAGAAAACTTCGTTAGATTGTGCAAGAGCCGAGGGGGGAGAGAAAAAAAGAGCTGCTACTCGTGTCCTTTACTTATCCAGAGTTGCGCAAAAATATATTTACATTTCTCTTCTAGCAGCGCCAGAAAATGAAACAGCATTATGTTTGTTATCTGTGGGGACCCTGAGCACACGATATAGGGGGAATGTGAACCCAAACTTCCTCTGTCAGCGCGTTAATTTTAGTTTTATGAGAGGATTTTTCTGAAGCTGCGTCTCTGGGGAAACGATCACCAACGTCTCAAACCCGATAATGACATGTTCGGACATGTTCTGACCGTGTACGCAGGTCTGTGTGGGTTCTGTCGGGTGGTTCGAGGCCAATATTTGACCGAGGGTACGTTGTGCGAACAAGCTGACCTAAATTCTGCCACATCAGCGACGTGACCAAACTTTATAAATCCTCGAACCTCCCGGTGTCGGTTTCGTTTCAGTCACCGGACTCTTGACTGTGTCCAGGAGAGAAACCATTAAAACCAGTAAGAACTCCGCTCTGGGCTTGAGTCACCACATGAGTCTACTAAAGAGCGTTTGGCAACTTTCCATCCGTGCGTGTGGGAATTACGCACAACTTTCTCTCGGCACTCGCGCAATAACTCGACAAAGTTGCGTGAGATCTTCCCCGCAGCACCGGCGAAAGAGTGGAAAGGGGTCCGGTAGACTCCACCCACTTCTGGTGGCGTGAGAGGGGTCCGGTGGTTGTGGGTTGTGGGACCCCCTGCCCCACCAAAACACCATATTCCGTGTTACAAATGGATGGGTGTGAAGCTGCGAACAGCGGCCCTTAAAGCGGGTGATGAGTGATATGAAGCAGCTGAAACCGCATCCTGAAACTGTTCAGCGCTGATTAGGTGGATTAGCAGTAACCAAATCAACTAGTTAGTTCAATAATCACTTTGGGTGAGTTTCTGGCGGGAGACGACCTCTTAAAATATCTGGAAATAATCTTCAAAGTCCAATCATGTCGCAGGAAAATATGCAGCCTCCCCCGTTTCAAGTTGCTTTTTTTTTCACCTTGAAACCTTTGCTCAAAGCCTCTCCGGGCACCCTGCGCTTCATTAATGATTATATGGAAAACGATTTACAGTGCGCACTCAGAGAGCCATTAAAATTCCCGAGTCAACCGGTTTGATCTGTGAAGCTGAGCTCGTTTGAAAGTGAACTTTGAGTGTGAACAGAATCTTCGTATTGAAGCGGTCCGAGCATGTGAGTGTGCTCAGCCAGAGTGAGTGCCAGGAATGAACCTGCTCATGTCCTAATTCAGAGCGAGAGAGCCACTGCGTCTTTAAAACGTAATAATATCTCCAAGGTGCTTTGAGAGCAGGCCTGGTATAACCCAGCGCCCCAAACTTGACAAAAATTCACCTTTACGACAATCTTCACACTCGCGACACAAAAGGCGCACCACCCACGAGTGTGTGGGTTAGGTGGATACACTCTTGGCTTCTTTAAATCCCCTCAAAGCCACCAAACATTTGGGCTTGTTTAAACATGAGCGATGACCTAGCCAGAGGAAAGGCAAGGACGAGCTACATGGAAATGACCAACTAACATTTCGCGAGTACAGCTCGATTTTTTCTCCTTTCCGGACTTTATTTTTAAATCCACTTTGCTCGCAGGAACACATGACTCACCTTGACAGCTGACAGCGTCAAAAATAATAGTGTCAAACTGTCAATAATGTTCATGGTGTTGGAAATCCAATCCAAAGGCAGGCGACGTTTTAAAATCCAAGAGGCCAATGTGGCGATTTCTCCTCCAACATGAACTTTTACAGCAAAACAAACAAACAAATAAACAAACACAAACACAAGCGGGGCCCGGCTAAAACTTGTCTAAAAGAGGGGTAGGGGGTTGTAATTCCATGTTGGTCCCGGGGTCGCAGCGTTCAGTGCTTTGCGCATAACTTCTTCCTTCTCAACTGTTGCCGATGATTTTCAAAATATCCAGAAACACGAGAATCCAAGACGCACAACGTCTCACATTGTTCCGCAGCACACCTTTATTTTCTTGACAGGGAGTAGCAATCCACATTACAAAAATAATCCCATGCTTGTTGCTCCAAGTGTCTGTCTCTATCTGAAACTTGTCCCCCTGCTCCTGTGTGCAACTTGACGCCACGGAGCAGGATCAGTGAAATAGAAACCCTCGCGAACACATTGTTGTCCCTTTTCCTCAAACTTCTTCTCGTCTACATAAAGACTCTCTTGTTTATGTAGTTTTTCTTATATGTCCCGGTGTCACAGCTCTCGCAGAAACGCGTCCACCTCTGTCTCCGTCTCTCTCCATAATGTGGCACAGCCAGCCGCGCGACGTCAATGATTGGTGGATCATTAAAGCGAGTAGGTGTGTCCTCTATGGGCTGATATATACAGCGCTGCGAACTGGCTTTTTTCTAAACTTTCACCTTAGATGTTGCTCATGTGACCACATCAGCAGCAAGCTATTAAAAAACGAGGAGCGGGGATCAGAAGTGCGGGGCTATTTTTACTCTTTGTGTTTGAGGAAAAGAGGAAAAGAGGAAAGAAGAGTACTGATGTTGTGCTTCTGATGTTTAATACACTCAAACATCATCCTCTGTCTCTGTTGCGTCTGAATTTGGGTTTTTAGACTCTAATGATGTGAGTTATGAAGTCTTCGATGTGGAAAAATGAATGCCCTTCTCCTCTCCTCTGATAGATGGATGCACAGATAGATGCTTTATTCGCTTTATTCGCGTCAATAAAAGCCCCCCCGTGGATCAGAAACCCACTTAAACCCAGACTCGAGGCAGCTCAAGCTCGTGCTCTAAATATCCGGCGATTTCATGACAGAGGAAACACACCTTCCCAGCTCGAGGAGCGTGTGTATCAGGACACGTAGCCTATCCACGTTTGAATAAATGCGTGCGTGCGCCGGGGAACGTTTGCCGCCTCATCGCGCCGGTTAGAGCGCGCCAGCACGTTAACGGAAAGTAGGAAAATGCGCGTCGTGACTCCCTCCCTCCCTCCCTCCCCCACGGTCACCTCACTGACGAAGAATGGATTTTCTGTGTGATGTCCCGGCTGACAGAAACCACCTGACCGCTGCGCAAGCCCCTCTCTTTTCCTCCTATCCGAGCAACAGCTGAGACACGAGGAACAGGAGCGTCAGGGGCGCGAGTGTGCGGCGTCAAACAAGTTTCTTATTTGGTGAAATTGACGTTATTAGAGACTTTATAGAGAGACGAGCTGAACCTGGGAGTACACTCATGATCACAGAAACAGAGACTCAAACAGATCAGTCCTCGAGTTCTGGTTTAATCCTGATCAACATGATGAAGTGTGAACATAAACTGTCACTATGAGGGGAGCTGAGCAGGGACGTATCCAGAGCTGGGAGGCTGATTGGCCACCCCATCCTACAGAGGGATGAGAAAGGATCTGTCTCAGACTCAGCTGTTTAGATTTTTTCTTTTTGCATCTAAATGTCGCCTTTTTGGTACAAACACATCGTGTATTTGTGGACTCTGTTTGTCTTATATTGTCAGAAACTTCCTACAGAATGACTACATGTCAAAAAAATCAGGAGTTTGGGCTTATGTAGGGCTGGGCGATATGGGAAAAAGTTTATCACAATATATTATTTGCATATCAGTCAATATCGATATATATATCATGATATAAAAAATGAAATTTAACAGTGTTTATTGGTGGCATGTCTTTTGCAATTCAGTAAGCTACTGTATCTGTGAGGTTATTACGACATTTTTGTTTCAGCTGTACAGGCATTTGGGGTTTGTAACCTTTTGCGTTGCGCGTGTTCTGCCGCGTGGCGCTGCTTCAGGTGGTGAAAAACATTTGAGGTATTTCCCAACTTTACGAGAACATGAACTGCTTCACGTCCGACCTCAAAACACCAAAATACCTCCACACCACCGACGTTTTCGTGCCAGTGTTGTCATCATCTGTTGAGCCTTCATGGTCATTTCTGTCGGGGGTAGCACTCATTTTCTTTGTTTCTCACCAACAGTGCTGTCGGCTTCACCTGTTAAAGTGCTATGGTTGGGTGTATCTGCTGTCTGCTACGACGCAGTTGTTTGATACTTGGTTCTAATTCAGCACATGATTGGTTCAGCGTGAAGCGAACCGGAGCAACTCCCCTTTTCATTGGCTATTTTAGTCTACCAAAACATGGCAGAATGCCGACTATCGAAAAGGAAATTGATTATGAGTTATATCGATATTGAGGGGAATTTGTTTTAGCACCTAGCCCTAGGTTTATGTCGTTCTGTTATGTTATATTTAGAGTTGAACTGTCATGTCACCTGCACCAAAACAATCGACAAACAAGTTTGCAGAGAAGCAACTGGCCTAATGTCAAAAAGTGAAAACATGAACACCTTTGCAGCTCTGTATCTTCAGTGAAAAAGATAAATATGAATGCTTTCTCTTTCTTACCTCTATTGTCTTCTTTTGTCGGAGTTTTGTTTCCTTCCTTTGTAAAGGACGCTGAGGCCAGTCTGGGGCGAGAATAAAAGAACTGACGCGTGTTGGACGTCTGTTTTCAGTCCGACCAGAACAATTAACCTCATGCAAACATACTGACTGTTGTGTTTGCTGTAAAAAGAGAAAATAAGATTCATTCGTGTTCATGCACACATATCTGCATGATGCCGTGCTCCTGTTAGGCCACCCTAGTCTAAAATCTTTGGATACACTCCTGCTGTCACGCTCAGATATCAGTTTTGAATGTTAACTTTAACTTTCATTAACAACTGAAGGTGTGTAAATGATTACAAACCATAAAGTGAGGTGAAAACGGAGGATTTGGACCTTGAATGAACCAGAACATGTTTAACTTACTGAGTTTAATGACAGGAAATTAAGTTTTAATTGTTTTCTTTTCTGCTGTCTGTTGGTTTGAAGCCTGAAGCCTCTTTCAGTCGTTAAAAGAAGAGACGAAACGCACCTTCAAGCTGAGTTTGACATCTTTTTATATGATCTATCATGTTGAATAGCTCCAGATAATCTCCACATAGTCATGACGCCCTCTACTGGACGAATACTCCACTGCAGGCCGGCTCCTGATGTGTCTACCTCCGACTCTCTGACAGATTGATGGACGCGGAGGAAGCGGAGAGAGCAGATAAAGAGACAGAAGTTGGCAGACATGTGCCTCACATATCAGGCCATACTGCTGCATGCAAATAAAAGGAAAAAAAAGGAAAAAACAGACGGACAATGAGACTGCAGAGTGGAGAGGATTGAAGCATGATGGAGCGAGAAAGCAGAGAGGCCGAGTGAGTGATAGAGAGAGAGGAAGAAGGATAGTGGTGTAACTGAAGCCGCCTGGAGAGGAGTATCTGTGCTCTGAGATTTAATTGAAGAAAAACACTCGGGTTCATTAATGGTGTCACCGAGCTCCTGTTTCTGCTGACTCAGAGTCTGTGTGTGTGTGTGGGCACATGAGTGGGCAAGGTTACAGTGGATACAGTACAAGGGTGGGTGAGTGTGTCCGGGTTTGTGCTGACGACGTACATGAGTGTGCAAAACACACACAGACTTTAATGAGGTGGTGCTTTCCAATATGTACAACAAACAAACTCCCCTGCGTCCGTCTGAGGCACATCCACCAACGTCATGATGGGATTCCTGTCACTGTTAGATCAGCGAATTTGTCTGAAATACGACAGAAAGGAAAAGAAATAAGATTCAGAGAAGGTGATAAACTTTCAGAAACCACTCTGTGTTTGGCTAGATTTATAATTTGACCATACGTCCTCTTTAACTCAGACATGTCCTCTTTTTTGGGGGGCTGTCCGGCCTTGAATTTTTTTTTCTAGGACGGAAGGGAGAAGTCCCGCCTCCTTCGCCTCTGATTGGCTACAAAAGCTGGAAACATCATCACACGCTCAAGCTGAGTGCGGGCTGTCGGATCTATACATCGAACAGAACATTACAGAACATTATCGCACTTCTGAAGCTCCTAACCAAAACCAACATTATCACACCTGGATCTACTGTGAAACTGCTGGCTATGAATCTGGACAGTTTATGATTAACAATTTGGACAAAACAGAACTGGATGGAAAACAAGCATCACAGCGAGATATAAAGGAATAAAAGTTACTAAAACGCCTGCGAGAATTCTCAATCACGGCGTAACTGATTAACAGGATGAAATTATCCGACATCACATCAGAAAAAACCTCCAACGGATTAGTCGTGAATAAAACAGGCTAGGCAGAAATAAGATATAAAACATTTCAGGTAAAAAGTCAATCATTGTTAAAGCTCCTGTGAAGAACTTTTTCTCTGTGACCAGTTCGGCGCCCCCCAGTGGACGATGCAGTCTTTGCTTGTCTCGTCCTTTACATGTTTAAGAACACTCTAAAACCTCTTTGGTTATTTCTTCAAACCAATTCCTGGGTTATACATGTTGAGTTTAATTTCTGGGTTATTTTTCAGATCCATTCAAGGTTAATAATTATGGGTTATTTTTCTGAGAGTAACCAAATAATTGGGTCAGAACGTTGGGTTTGATTGACTCTACATGGTCTCTAGGCCTAATACCATTGAAGTGTGGCTAGGGTAGCTCAGTGGGTAGAGCATTCAGGGGGTTGGGGTTCCAATCCCGCATGAGACACATCTGTAAGGAGCAAAGTACATCTACCTGTGTGGGTCCTTAGGCAAGACCCTTAGTTCTATGGCCTACCTGACAGCGTTACCATTGAAAGCCAAACCAGTTCAGTCGTCGCCCAAAACATTCACCACAAGTCAAGTCTGTCAGTATGATATGGATTTGTCCATGTACAGTCAGCCCATCCAGGGGTCACTTTGGGTTTCTGTCTGGGCTCCGGGTGTGGGGCCCAGTACAGCCGGTGAACAGGGGTAGGTAAGCATTGTCAACATCATCTTGTAACCCAGCCATTTTCTTTAATCCAATGTTTTTCAACCTTTTTCAACACTGTAGAGGACAGTCCTCCACAGACCCAGCCATCCACCGTACGGCTCGAACCTCTGACCTCAGGAGTACCAGTCAATGTTCTTATCCCGTGAGCCACGTGGACACAGGACAATACCATTTGCCTCCTCTTTCTCTTTCCTGTCTAGACACGAGACTTTAAAATTCACCTTGTCCCAAATAAGGCTCGAACCAACCACCCCAGAAGTTCCAGTCAGTCTCGTTATCCCGTGAGCCACATGGATACTCAAGACAATCATGTTTTTTTTCTTCATATATCACTGTCCTTTGTGGACTTTGGACTTTAAAATTCTGCGAGAACTGGGAAAGGTAAGACTCGAATCTATGACCTGA